CACAGAACTTTCTGGAGTCATGCTGTTCATTGAATACTTCCTTGTCAAATCATTCCTTCCAAAGTGTATCACCTCACACTTTTTAGGCTTAAATTCCATCTGCCATTTATCTGCCCATTTGACCAGCCCGTTTAAAGCTTCTTGTAGCCCAAGACATTCAACCTTACTGTGAGCCACCTGACAATCCTATTTGTCAGGATTCATATGTAGGCCAGACTGGGGAACCATGACAGATTTCCCTCCCTGAATGAAATCGGTGAATTTGAGAAGCTGTAGTGATAGTTATGTAAGCATCAGCTTTATAATTCCAGAAAAAAACATGAGAGTCAGGAGCAACTGTAGGCCATTCAGAGCCTCATGTATGATGTACCATTTAACAAGAGCATGGCAGGCCTGCATGCAATCTCAAATCCCCATTCCCACATAGCGCGATAACCTTTCAGCTCCTCTCTTTGCAAGAACCTATCCATCTCGGCCTTAAAAGTAAACAAGGATTTGATGGGCCTCTTACTGATTTCTGCCTCCACAACATCTTCAGGAAGGGAGTTCCAAAGACTCACAACCCTTTAATCGTTGATTTAGTTAACTGAGTTGAAATTTCTGGGGTGGCGTTTGAACAAAGCCTCAGATTATTAACCTCTGTTGGATTACTGGCCCAGAACATTACCATCCATACTCTTATCCCCAATATTGCGAGCCCACAGCATGGATGTGATATGGCAAAACCAGGTGATTACAAGCAGCAGAAGGGAACAGCAGGGTTTATTGATTGCGATGATACTGTGGCTTTAAGAGTTCATTATTTTGTCCTTTTTTTTGTCAAAGAGAGGTTTTAAGACAGAAGTATTGAGTTGCCTACTTGGCAAGCCAATAAATTAAACAAACTGTGAGGCCTTGGGCTTTTCTTAAATTGGAACATTAGAAACAGTCTGGATTGGTGTGGCCAGTTCTCACAGATCAGGATTTCTAGTTTTTCTTTTGGTTTTTAGGTTGACCTTTAAGCAGTTGCTGTTGGGGTCTCAACAGGGTTGGAAGCTTCAGTAAATGTCTCCTGGCTGGTAACTCTCTCTGAGTTTTCTCTTGATGTTTCTCCTTCTGGACTGCTGGATTACTTATGAGACAAATCTATTTTTCTGAGTTTGCCTTTTTGCCAAGGGGTGTGTTTATGGGATGTTACTGTATTGGAACAGTTAATTAGTAATTGTTATTGTATCTATTATTCTGTTCAGTTTTCCAATAGAGTTAAGTTATTCTAAGTTCTTTCTTTTGTTGTATTTTAACTAATAGTGTTTAAATAAACTGTGTCTTGCTTAAAATCGAGTAGTTTGACCAATCGAATTGCATCTGGAACACAACACATTACATTTGCCTTTAAAATAAGAAAAAGTTAGGGTCTAGACTACCTTCTTAAAATATTTACAGCGGGTCTGGTCTGGTCCATAACACTGATAGAGTGACATGAGGAATGAGCGGTGCAGTACTGAGAGACCATGGATACTAGGAAGAATGGCCTGTTTCTCTCCATTGAAGAATGAAATAAATCAACACACTTCCTGCAAGACAAACTGATAAAATCTCTTTATTTGTGAAACACCAATTAAAATATTCACAAGTCAGTCACCGGCAACCTTACCTATGAGTTGAACCATGTTCCAAAGACAGAAGCTTTACTCAATTCATTAGTTTCTTCAGTGTCACAACAGTTTACAGTAAAGTCACTTACGAAAATGTACAGAAAGGCATCGATTTAATTGGCAATACAATACAGAGGTACGAAAGCAGATCTCTGGTGAGGCCCAGAGTCCAGTGCAAAGGCTCAGGCTAGCAAAGAAACCAACACTAGAAATGGTGCATGATTGTCTGATTGATTCACTTTCTCAAATAAGCAAGCAGAAGTGATGAGATGAATCTTTCTCCTAGTTTGTGATACAAAAACAGCAAACAACCCATTTCCATCTCCACCCTCACCCAAGCATAGCTTCCTGATTAAATTGTGGAACAGGCTCAAGGGGCTGAATGGCCTCCTCCTGTTCCTATGTAACAGGCTCGAGGGGCTGAATGGCCTCCTCCTGTCCCAATGTAACCGGTTCAAGAGCTGAATAGCCTCACAGTAATGTCCTCTCTAATCTCATTGTCTTGTGTGTGGTCTATTCATTTAAATCCATGGGTTCCTAATCTTTCTTTGTGTGGCCTCACCCAAGTAGTATCTTAAAGGAGATGATTTGTATGTAACCAGTGCCGTATTTTATGGGTTACTAAGCTGCCTTGTAAGTCAGAGGAACCACAGCCTCAAAGCCCAAAGAGGGCACATTGTTCCTGACAAGTTTGAAAAAAAAAACGTGTCAATTCTTCAAAGCAACTTGTGAATGGTTTCTCTCTATCTTCAGTGTTGGTTAGCTTGTGGATCAAGAGATTGGCTCTAAGGATCGTGAAAAGGGACAGGTATCTAAAAGTCTAGTTATTAAGGGCCAAGAGCCAGATTGTCAAAGGCCATGGGAAGGGATTGATCATACAGGCCAATGGACTGATTACTAAGGGCCAATGGACTGGTTTCTAGGGACCAAGGGCTAATTGCTAAGGGCCATGAAAAACTACAGGTAACTAAGAACTAGGGGTACAGTTGCTGAGGATCAATGGACTTGTTCGTAAGGATCATGAGAAGTGACTGGTCCCTAAGGGCCAAGAGATAGATTGCAAAGGACCACAAGGAAAGACTAGTTTCTAAAGGCCAATGGATTAGTTGCAAAAAGTCAAGAAAAGGGACAAGTTGCTAAGAAAAGGGGCAGGTTGCTAAGGGCCAATAGACAGGTTTCTAAGGGCTAAGAGACTGGTTACTAATGGTCAGAGTAAGAATGGATTGCTAAGAACCAATTGAAAAGGAACAGGTTTCTATGGGCCAATTGTCAAGATGCTAAGAACCATAAGCGTCTTCTAGTTGCTAAGGGCTAATGGAGTGGTTGCTGAGGATTCATAAGAAGGGAATGGTTTCTAAGGGCCATGAGAAGGGATTGGTTGCTAAGGGTCATTGGACTCGTTTCTTGGAGTCAAAGGAGTTAAGAGAAGGGATGATTGTCAAGATCCATATAAAAAAAGACAGAATGCTAAGTGCCAATTGCCAGGGTACTAAGGACCATAAGAAAGGGCTATTTTCTGAGGACTAACAGGCTGTTGCTAAGGGCCATATGAACAAAGATAGGTTGCAGAGGGTCACGAGAAAAGACTGGTTGGTGAGGGTCAATGGACTGATTGCAAAAGGTCAAGAAAAGGGATGAGTTGTTAAGAGCCACAAGGAATGGGTAGGTTGCTAAGGGTCAACAGAGTGGTCACCAATGACCATAAGAAGGGAGTGGTTGCTAAATACCACAGGAGTGATCATTATACATCTTCCTTGGTCAGAAAGTGATGCTTCAACTGCTCAGGCCTGTGCTGATTTGTTGGAAGAGCTGACCATTATTAACATAATCTTGCATCTCCCTCCTTTTTGTCCCACAACCCTGTTCTTTTTCAGTCCATGTCCAATTGCCTTTCCTATGGAAGTGAGAGGATATGGGAAGATTGTCATCGCTGGGGGTCTCCAGCAAGAGTCTCTTGATGCTGGATGGGGAATAGGAAGAGGGATTGGCATCAGTCAACAACATATTCCAGTTCATTCTGTGTAATACAGAAGAGTTGTGTGGACAAGAGTGGTGTCAGATTTCCTTAACCTGTTAGAAAGAGAGATGGGGAAATGTCAGGGTCCTCACCAACGCTTCAGAAAGATCTTAATTAGGAGCACGTCGTGGATCTAACTTGCTTTGGATATCACAGGTTCGACCCAGATGACACAGATTTATGATAATCAGCATAAGAATCTGAGGGGGTAGATGAATAGATTTTTTTTTCACATAGCGAGTTGCCATGATATGGAAAGTGGTACCTGAAGTGGGGGTGGGTGTGGAAGACACAATGGGCCAAATGGCCTCCTTCTGTGCTGAATTGGTAACAATTGAGTGACAGGAACCATGTAAGCTGCCTCAGAGAAGGGAGAGACTTTGGGATTTTTGTCCTTGGCGGGGGATGAGGGAGTTTAGGGGGAAGATATGGGGGTGGGGGGGTGGATGGGGAGGTGTGTCAGTGTGAGGAAGAAGGAGGGGAATAGAAAGTGGAAATTCACAGATGGAGCTGGAGGCCCAGCATCTGCTGCAAAGATTAGAAAGCCCTAGTTTAGGTTAGTGCAGTCTGTGTATTTGTGAGGCCTCCAATGGGATTCAGTCATAATTGAAGGATTGAGCTCATTTTTGAATATTTCATTCTCGATCATGCCAGTGCTGGTTTGGCACCAGATTATGCCAGTAGCATTTAGTGCCATTGTCTGGTAGAATGTAAGGATCCTGTGCCTGAATTTTCCATCGGGAATCCTTGTAAAGCCAAACAACGCTCCCAGCTTGTGAGAACAAGAGAAATAAGCAATTTATCCCCAACGATCCCAAGTCTCAGTAAAGCCAGTGTCACAAAAGATCCAAGGAAGCTCATGTGGACGGATTGCCATGTAAAAATGTACAAACTGTGTTCAAAATCATTGCTTTCAAACTGCAATCAGCCAAATTGGGCAATGCATTAGTTAGCCCTCTTAGAGCAAAACAGTCATTTATTGACCGTTGTTTTTTTGATTTGAGATGAGGAAGGTTTTCCCTTCTTATTAATCGCACCACAATACAGGATATTCAATCCCTCAAACATATCACAAAGTGCTTCCAACTGGTTCGAAGTGCAGTCGTGGTTAAGGAGGGGCACATTAATCACATTAAAATTTCACCTCAGAGACATTGATTCCAGGTTCTGTTAAGCCCACAGAGGACTGTTCCCTTGCCGAGCCCAGTCTTAACTAGACTAGCACTTCCTACCATCCCGTTTGCTCCTCATGCTCTCCAATGAATAATCCCAATGACAGGATGTCAACAATTTTGATCCCTCTTTTCTCCCTCCCCAAGTTCATGTTGAGGTTGCAAACGCCCGTATTTTTAATATTTTTTTTGCGCCCGGCAATACAGTAAAAAACATGCATCGCAGCCAAGTTATAAAGTCATCACTTAACTATCACAAATTTAAAATACAACTACACCGTAAATTGATTGGAATCATAGATATCACTGTAAACATGCCAGAACGACAGATATTGCCTCTTAGGATACAAAAAGGATGATCGGTTATGAAATTCATCACTCTCCCTGCAAACACGGGGGGTTGTGAGCGGAGGAACCGATTACTCAACCCAGCAGTGATTCCGCCAAGCATTCCACCTCTCTCTCTCTCCGGTGGGGGGGAGACATGAGTTCAGCAGTGAGGTTACACAGGAGATATTGTCCTTGCGTGCAAGTCAGTCAGGGATAGCAGCAGGAGACTGGAGAGAAGGAGTTTCAGCTGCAGACAGAATTGGGTCAAAGAAGAAAGAAAGCAATATTTCTAAACATCCTTTCACCACCTCAGATGTTCACAGCATTGCACACCCACCATTTCCCATGGCTAACCCACCTGGCATCCACATCCCCTGAAACATTATGGGCAATTTAGCATGGCCAATCCACCTAATCTGCACATCTTTGGACTGTGGGAGGACACTGGAGCACCCAGAGGAAACCTATACAGACACAGACACTCCCCAGTCCTGATGAAGGGTTTGGACCCAAAACGTTGACTTTCCTGCTCCTCCAATGTTGTGCTTTTCGAGCCTCATACCATAGACTGTACCGCCACAGTTGCCATGTGGAGTACATGGCACACTTAGAAATAAGATGTTGGTTACAGGATAAATATTGGGACAGGACACTGTGTTTGGGAATTTTTGTTTTTACACAAAATAGTCCTGTGACAACTTCCACATCCATCGGTTTGATGTCTCACCTGGGCAGCACTCTCTCAGTGGGCAATGCCAGCCTAACCTGGGCACTTAAAGTACTGGGGACAGCCAACATTTACAGGGCAAACCCTTTCAGGGACAGAAACCAGAAGACAAAAAGAAAAACCCTTATGTCGGAATGAAGGCATTGAGAGTCTGGCTGGGAGCTGGGGAGAAAGGCAGGAGGTGCCTTCACTTGGAAATTTTGTCCCAATCTACGCCAATCCCCTTCATCCTCCACCCTCAATCCCATCGATTCCAGTTCATTGCCAGTGTGTAATTCCAGGTTTAGTTGCTCAGGACCCCCAGCCACAGAATCCCAGGATTGAACACTTACTTGGCCAGAGCGGACGGAGATCCCGATCGGTGGAAGTGGACGATTTGCCATTTTCCATCACGTCGGTGCCAGATCCGTGTCTCCTCGGATTGGGCGGTGCGTGGGATCCCGCTGCTATCTATGTACTGTGTGATGCGGATGTAGGCAATGCAGGCAGCTTCTTCCCCAATCAGGTGGATGTGTGGGTTCAGAATGGTGGTGTGCACTGGCTTGTTGTTCTTGGACCACACTGGAAACCGAAATAAAGAATTGTCAGCCATTGCGAGCACACAACTGGGAATTCAAAATCAACCTAGTGAAAGTTCAGAGGGTGGGGAGAGGTCGACACAGAATGTTGTGTGGCTCTCCATACCAGACAGCAACAATATAGTGTACTTATATAGAGATGTAGGGCTGCATTCGTGTAGCGCCATGTACATCTCAGGACATTGGTGCAAGTTGTCAATAAATTAGTTTTTGATGTATATTCATTGCTGGACAATTTGCGCACAGTGAGCCCCCACTAATAGCAATGTGGTAATGGCCAGATTACCTCTCTCATTGCTAATGATGTGGGTCAGGGATAAATATTGGCCATCAGGATATTTTCGCCACCCTGGAGAAATCTACCGCTCTCCTTGAAGAAATAGTGTAAAGGGATTGGAGAGGTCAGGTGGTGTCTCAGTTTAATGTCTGATCTGAGAGATAGTACCTTTGATAGTGCAGGACTCCCTCAGTGCTGAGTGTCAGTCTGTCTCTAGAGTGAGAGTTGACCCACTGACTGCAGAGATGAGAGTGCTACCCACTCAGCCATGATGCCAGGCCATAAGGATCAGACCAACACCGCGTGGATTAACGAGAGGGACATCATACTTCACAAATCAACTGGAATTTTTGAGGATGCCTCTCATAGAATTGATAAGGAGGATTGAATGAATGTGTTTTACTTGAACTTTCAGAAGGCTTTCAATATGGTCCCACAACGAAAAGATTGACATGTACAGTAAAGGGCATGGGATTGGGGTAATGTACTGACATGTCTAGAGGAATGGTTAGGAGACAGGAAACCAACAGTAAGAATAAACACGTCTTTTTCTGAGTGGCAGGCAATGTGTAGTAGGGTACTGCAGAGATCAGTGCTTGGATCCCAGCTATAATATATATATTAATGATTTAGATGAGGGAACTAAATGTAAATCTTCTAGTTTGCAAACAGCACAAAGCTGGGTGGGAGAGTAAGCTGCGAGGAGGATACAGAGAAGTTTCAGTGTGATTTGGACAACTTGAGTAAGTGGGCAAATGCATGGCAGGCGAAATATAATGTGGATACGTATAAGGTTGTTCATTTTGTCAGCAAAAACCGGAAGGCAAATTATTATCTGAATGGCAATAGATTGGGAAACGGGGAGGTGCAATGAGATCTGGGTGCCCTCATTCACCAGTTGCTGATATTAAGTGTGCAGGTGCAACAGATGATGAAGAAGGCAAATGGTTTGTTGGCCTTTAAAGCAAGAGGATTTGAGTACAGGGTCAGGGATGTCTTGATGCAATTGTACAGGGCCTTGGTGAGACTACATCTGGCGTATTGTGTACAGTCTTGTCTCCTTATCTGAGGAAGGATGTTTTGGCAATGAGGGAGCACAGCAAATGTTAACCAGACTACTCCTGGGAGGCAAGACTGACATATGAAGAGAGACAGGATTGGTTTTGACTGTATTCACTGGAGTTTAGAAGCAGGGGTGGGGATCTCATAGAAATCTATAAAATTCTAACAGGATTAGACAGGGTATACACAGGAAGGATGTTTCCGATGACCAGAGAGTCCAGAACCAGGGATCACACTCTAAGGATACAGAGCAAGTCATTTAGGACTGAAATGATGACAAATTTCTTCAGTCAGGGTGTGTGGAGCCCGTGGAATTCTCTGCCACAGCAAGTGGTTGAGGCCAAAACATTGCATGTTTTCAAGGAGTAAGATACAGTTTTTATGGCTAAAGGGATCGAAGGATATGGAGAGAAAGTGGGAATAGGGGACTGAGTTGGATGATCAGCCACGATCATATTGAATAGTGGAGCAGACTCAAAGGGCCAAATGGCCTACTTCTGCTCCGATTTTCTATGTTTCTGTGTTTCACACCCCTTAAAAGCTGCAGGAATTAAGACATGGCGCTCAATACAGAGCAGGACTTCAGTAGGGGCTTCACCAAATCTGTAAGGTCTCTGTATCACAATGGGTTGGGAATTTACTGACTTGGACATTATTAGTTAAAAGCTTTTATTGTTGGCTCGTATTGAAGTGAACAGCTGAAATGCATTGATTTAACTCATGCGGAACAAGAATAGTTTCTTACAATTCTCAAAGTAGAATCTGTGAAAATCGAGTCCCTCCACCAGGTTTCCCAGTGCCTCGGGTTCAAATGCAGTGACCCCAGGGTCACACATCTTCCTGAAAGATCAACAAATTGAAACCGTGAGGGTTTACCTCTCTTGGCAAAGGAACCAGCAGACCATGCTGGAAATATACCAATCAGCATCCATAGAAAGGGTGACACAACGATGTTGAGAGGAAGTGATAAACATCTGCTATGATCTGTCATAGTGACAGGAAGGAGGAAGAGGTAGAAGAAAGTAGGGATAGAAGGAGGCATGGAGGGAGGATCGGATAAAGGAAAAGATGAGGGGATGGCAAAAATGGGGGATGGGAGGGGTAAAATGGATAGAAGGGAGGAATAGATAGAAGAGGACAATGGCAGTAAAGAAGATAGTAATGGATGGTAGCCTTCCAGCACCAGGATATGATAGTGAATTGAAAATCTACATTTGACCAATTTAACATAAGATCCCAGTTGTAACTTCTCAGCATTATTGATCCACGGTTTCTGTTTGCATGACTATTTCAAACGTTTTGCATAATTGGTTTAAAACAAAAGCAAATGTTTTGATTGGGAAAGCAACTTACGTGTATGCCTCAAAATCACCGTTGCTAATGGCTTCAATCAGTTGTTCTGTAGCTTTGATAATCTCTTGTTTACGCACTGCAATTAGCACAGAAAGAGTAAGGTTGAAATGACACCCATTGACAACACACACATTATCTTTAAAAGATGTGCATTCTACGCACTGTGTACTGGAGTTATAAGGAGTGAGGTTAGAACAATTCCAACCCTTCCTTGCAATCCCAATAAACCCTCCTTACATTTTTCCATTAATATATCCCTACCATTGTCAGCCATTTCTCTTGCTGTCTCTCCCTCCATCCATTCACAGCTCTCTGTATTCATTCCTCCCATCATCAATTCCTCCATTGATTCCTCCCACTATCCGTACTTCCTTTTCTTCCTGTTCATGGATTTCTCTCTTTATCCAAACATGCCTCCATCTCTCCCTAGTCCATTACTCTCCATCGTTCTCCACCTGTCTCACTTTGTGCCTATTGTAGATTGTCCTCTCATTACTCAGAGCATCTGAGCCCAATAGTAACAAATAACAGGGGAGAACTTGAGTAGCATTGTTGAAAAGGGGCATGCAATCAAAGTATTTCATCTTGTACTCATCAGAAGGTGTGCTAGAATAGTAAGAAACAATAGCTCTAATGGGGAACAGTAGATCCCTGGTCCATTCTGTATGGCACACCTCAAACAATTGAAGATGATCTGCCAACCTATCAACACGTCTTTCTTTTGCAGTATAAATTGTTGTTCCCTTTAAAACTTGACATTCTTCTGTCTGTCCTGATGGGTGGAAGTTGAAAAGGTTTGCCAAATGCCTCTTTTTTCCAGCAGTACTCAATAGTAAAACCTCGGCTTGGAAGTCCCTAGCAGTAGCTCAGCTGCAGGAGGCCTGCCCAGTCCAGAGGAGTGGGGACTGAATTAAAAGAGTCACCAGGGTCAGGTGGCGTCATCGAAATGGGAGGCGATGCCCTAGCAGCATTATCGCCAACTGTTAATCCAGAGACTCAGGTAATGTATGGGGGACCCGGGTTCAAATTGCACCATAGCCAATGGTGGAATTTGAATTCAATAAAAGACTGGAATTAAGGGTATAATGAATCCATTGCAAATTGTCAGAAAAGCCCATCTGGTTCATTAATGTCCTTTAGGGAGGTAAACTGCCAGCCTTACCTGGTCTGGCTTAAACGTGGCTCTTAACTGCCCTCTGGGCAATTAGGGATGGGCAATAAATGTTGGCTAGCATGTGAATAAATTTGAAAAAGTGTGCAAGACATTTTAACTCCAGGACAATTAAGTCTTGGTCATGCCAGTAAGGGTGGTATACTGCAGTAGACAGGGGAAGCAAGTTTAGTTAACTTTATTTTATTAACAGTGCTTTCTCCAAGTCCAAAACCAAGTCTGTTTTGAAAACAGTTTTCTTCCTCCACTGAATTTCCACTCAGATCCATTTGCAAACACTGCCATGAAACAATCATATAGCACTTCAAAATATAATTTTCGTTTCAAAAAATTCATTGTTTTGATAATATTCCTTTTGAAGATTACTAATTTGATAAATTTTGATTAATGCAGCTGGAATTAGATTTGTTGTAAAAAAAAAGCTTTTTATACCACTCCACTATCCTTGAGTAAGTCAATTTCAAATGCCTGAAAGTGACATCTTAAAAAAATTTCAAATTGTTTTCTCATGTGACTGGAGTCATCAGTTCCTTAGTAAATTAGAAGAAAGATTAATACCTTTCAAAATTAGCAAGTTCTACCCAAAATGTTTAACATAATCTTTGAAGCTTCATCAAAGGCCTAAAACATGGACCATTATCAGAGTGTGCAATGCTAAGGAATTCACCCTGAGGGAGTGGACAGTTTTCAAAATCACAGAAGTTTACTGAGCAGGAGGAGGCCATTCGGCCCATTATGCCTGCACTGGCTCATTAATTGAGCATCATCATTTCATGCTAACCATTTGCTTTTCCCCCATACCCTTGAATGTTATTTCTATCCAATAATCATCCACTGCCTTCTGGCATGCCTCAGTTGAACCTGTCTCTATGAAACTTCCACACCTTAACCTCTCGCTGAATGAAAAACCTTTTGCCCTCTTCACCCTTGTGTCTTTTGCAAACCACTTTAAGTCTTTGACCTCTTGATCTTGTTCCTTGTATGAGTAGGAACAGTTTCACCCCATCTACACAATCCACTCTTGATTTTGAAAACCTCCAACAAATTTCCTTTCAAACTTCTTCTCCCCGAGGAAGACAGTCCCAACTTCTTCAATCTGTTCCCATAACTGAAGTTTCTCATCCTTGGGACCATTCTTGTAAACAGGGTTTGTGAGGATTGGGCCCATTGCTTGGGTGATTTTTCTAAAGTAGCGCAAAAGTTTACAGACATTTGAGATGTACTGAACTCAAATTGTGGAAAATCTCCCGTGATCTTATATTCCAGTGGTGCCAAAATTGAGAAAACTGTTGAAAATATCAGTGCAGTGCAGCAAAAACTGAGCTATAATTAAGGCCTCTCAGTTCTGACTCCCACACAAATGGAACCATTTTCCCTGTGTCCATTGCAGAATCATATCTCTTTCTCTTTGTGTCTCACCTTTTGTATCTTCATCTTCAATAGTAGTGTTTGTGCTCTCCGAGGACTCCTAAATTAAAGGCACAGAGCTGTTACAATGGGAAGTAACCATGGCAACATTCTTATCCCAAATCCAAAACACTTACTGTCACAGCACAGGATGGGGCACATGCCGCAGTCTAAGGTTTTATATGCAGAAATCACAATGGAACTAAGCAATCTTCTACTGAGGAGATGTTGAGGAAAGAGTTAGGGTTGCGGTAGCATAGCTGTAAATGTTGCTGGATGATTTATTTCAGAGGCCCAGACTAATCCTCCAGTGAGGCTGGTTCAAGCCCTGCCACAACAACTGGAGGAATTTAAACTTAATTAAACAATCTGGAATCAGGAGCCATGAATTGAACTGAGATGGGCTTTGTCTTCATTTTTTTCCTTTTTTTAATATATATAATTTGTCATGAAAATGGGTGCCAGAGTATGGTGACGCAAACACTTTTTGTAAAAATACAAATGACAATAAATTACTATTCTGTTCTATTCTATTCTAACATTGATCCATGGAAACAAAAGAACAAGGAACAAAAGTAGGCCACTCGGCCCTTCGAGCCTGCGATGCGATTCAATAAGTTCATGGCTGACCTGATCTTAACCTCAACTCTACATTCCTATATACACCCAGATAACCTTAGAATCACAGAATCCGTACAGTGCAGCCTCACAGCGCCAGGGACCCAGGTTTGATTCTAGCCTCGGGCAACTGTCTGTGTGGAGTTTGCACATTCTCCCCGTGTCTGTGTGGGTTTTCTCTGGGTGCTTTGGTTTCCTCCCACAGTCCAAAGATATGCAAGTTAGGTGGTTTGGCCATGCTAAATTGTCCATAGTATCCAAGAATGTGTGGGTTAGGTGGATTATCTGTGGGAAATGCAGGGTTACAGGGATAGTGTAGTGGGATGGGTCTGGGTGGGATGCTCTTCAAAGGGTTGGTGTGGACTTGGGCTGAATGGCCTGTTTCCACACTGTAGGGATTCTATGATATTATGTGAAGATATACCAATCTAAACATATCTAATGACTTTAACTTTACATGGCTCAGTACATCGTTTCAGTGCAGCAGGAGGAAGATGTTAAATGGACAGTTCTACTGAGGCAGAGGTGTTTCTGAGAATCATTGTTCTTCCCAAGAGTGGCTGTGAATCAGATAAACAGCCGTACAGCACATTATACAGATGACAGTGATTTCAAACTCAAAACAACTGTTCCCTTTGAAAGCAGCTCTAACTCCCTGAACAGTCGCTACTCATTTTCTTCAGCAGGTCCTAACTAGGGCTTTGAATGAGTTGTCAGGGAAAGAGTTGATGAGGTGGCTCTCCCGATGTTTTGCTCGTGGTCTGTCATCTCAGCCCCAGGAAATCCCTGCAGGAGTTCCTCAGGGCGTTGTAAACTATCCTCTTAAATATTTGCTACTGCTGCTTTAATAAACTATCTCCCAGTATAAGAGATAGTAGGAACTGCCAATGCTGGAGTCTGAGATGACAAGGTGTGGAGCTACAGGAACACAGCAGGCCAGGCAGCATCAGAGGAGCAGGAAAGCTGATGTTTTGGGTCTGGACCCTTCTTCAGAAATGGGGGTGGGGAAGGGGACTCTGAAATAAATAGAGACAGGGGGAGGCAATGATGGAAGGTGGATAAAGGAGCAGATAGGTGGAGAGAAGACGGAAGGGTCAAGGAGGTGGGGATGGAGCCAGTAAAGGTGAGTGTAGGTAGGGAGTTGGGATGGGGTTGGTCAGTTGGGAGGGAGGGGCGGGTAGGTGGTAGGGAAGATGGACAGGTCAAGGAGGCGGAGATGAGGCTGGTAGGTAGGAAGTGGGGGTGGGGGTTGGTCAGTGAGGTGGGAGGAGTGGATAGGAGGGAGAAAAGACGGACAGGTCAAGGAGACGGGTACGAGCTGGGCTGGTTTTGGGATGAGGTCGGGGGGTGGGGAGATTTTGAAGCTTGTGAAGTCCACATTGAGACCACTGGGCTGCAGGGTTCCCAAGCGGAATATGAGGTGCTGTTCCTGCAGCTTTTGGGTGACATCGTTGTGGCACTGCAGGAGGCCCAGGATGGACAAGTTGTCCGGGGAGTGGGAGGGGGCGTTGAAGTGGTTCGCGACTGGGAGGTGTCATCATTTGTTGCGAACCGAGCGTAGGTGTTCCGCAAAGCGGTCTCCAAGTGTCCGCTTGGTTTCCCCCATGTAGAGGAGGCCACAACGGGAACAGCGGATACAGTAAACCACATTAGCAGATCTGCAGGTGAACATCTGTTTAATGTGGAAGGTTTTCTTGGGGCCTGGGATGGGTGTGAGGGGGGAGGTGTAGGGGCAGGTTTAGCACCTCCTGCGATTGCAGGGAAAAGTGCTGGGGATGGTGGTGCTAGGCTACACCTCCCAGTCGCGAACCACTTCAACTCCCCCTCCCACTTCCTGGACGACATGTCCATCCTGGGCCTCCTCCATTGCCACAACGATGCCACCCAAAGGCTGGAGGAACAGCACCTCATTTTCCGCCTGGGAACCCTGCAGCCCAATGGTCTCAATGTGGGCTTTACACACTTCAAAATCTCCCCACCCCCTACCTCATCCCAAGACCAGCCCAGCTCGTCCCCGTCTCCTTGACCTGTCCGTCTTTTCTCCCACCTATCCGCTCCCCCCACCTCACTGACCAACACCCATCCCCACTTCCTACCTACCAGCCTCATCCCCACCTCCTTGACCTGTCCGTCTTCCCTACCACCTACCCGCCCCTCCCTCCCAACTGACCAACCCCCATCCCAACTCCCTACCTACACTCACCTTTACTGGCTCCATCCCCGCCTCCTTGTCCCTTCCATCTTCTCTCCACCTATTTGCTCCTCTATCCACCTTCCATCATCGCCTCCCCCTCTCTATATTTATTTCAGAGCCCCCTTCCCCTCTCCCATTTCTGAAGAAGGGTCCAGACCCGAAACATCAGCCTTCCTGCTCCTCTGATGCTGCTTGGCCTGCTGTGTTCATTCAGCTCTACACCTTGTTATCCCAGTATAAGATCCCAGTTTACTTCAGCTAGCTCAGCTTTCAAGCCCAGATAGTTGCCCCTATTTAAATTCAAAGTACTAGTCCTTAATCAAATTCTCTCTCTCTCAAACCGGATGTACTAGTCCAGTCACATGACCGTTACAATACAATTTCCTCCAGTCACTCTCAGGTCAGCAACCACCAGCTTTTGGATTCAAGCCGTAACTCACATTGTAGGAAAGAAAAAGGGATAAGTTAACATCCTTGGGATGTACCAGCATGCTTACCCAAAATACGTAGTCCAACCTGAGCACAGTATGATCCCACCAAGAGCACTGATTGGTTAAATTTGTTTCTTTTTACGAAATATTGATTCACTGGAGATACACATTGCTGATTGTGGTTTAGAGAGTGGTGAGTTTCTGCAGTGTAGGAACACACATAGTGACGGCAAGGAGGGGGCATTTAAGTGGGGTAAATATTTGTCGACACCTGCATAGGCTAATTCACTGTAACGTCTCCCTTGAAATCAAACATTGTGCCCTAGGTGAGTTTTTTTTTGTTGACATCAAGTCAGAAATTCGGTCATTTCAGAATTGTAGTCAGCAGCTGTTTAGAGGGTTAAAAAGGTTGTATAAACTTGGCCAGTACTTGCTTTGGACTCGACAGTTAAAGAGTGATCTGAGCGAGGCGTCGAAAATGCTAAAGAGATTTAGAGGGTTACATGGAACAAAGGTGCAGAAAAGGAGCTAAAGTGCAAATCAGCCTCAATTTGATTGAATGTAGGGTTGCCAACTCCCCTGGTTTGTCCCAGAATCTCCAGAAATTAAGAATGATTCTCCTGAGTTTACCGTGGGCCATCCTAGAAATTATTTGTTGGATCCTTATAGAAAAAGTTTGCCTTTTCCATCCTATGTCTCTTGATCGTAACAATATTGGAACTGGGGGAGATGGTGGGATTTGGAGACAATTTTATTGTTTTTATTTGTGGATAAGAAGGGTTGAGAGGGATAGGGGCCAAATGCTGGCAAATGGGGCTGGATTACTTTCGGATATCTGGTCGGCATGGACGAGTTGCGTCGAAGGGTCTGTTTCTGTGCTGTACAACTCTATGACTCTATTACTCTCTATGAGAGAGTACTGTGGTCATCAAATGACAAAGTCTTCAGCAATATACAACCACAGCTGGCTATCTTATCTGAATGAGACTGAAGCCCAGGGGGTGGAATGGTCAAATGTGTGCTATGAGGTTCTGCCAAGCAGCTTTTGAGTCTCTTACAGAAATCAGTTGATTAACTGTTTTAGTCCAAAGTCCAGTTGCTCTGGATGTTGACCAGTTGGTGGGAAGGAGTTACAAAGGCAGTCAGGGGAACTGGGTGACCAAGTCTTGAAATTTCAATGTCATCCTCTTGATATCCCCAAATCAAACATTTCCTTTCTCCCTCATGGAATTGTAAATAGTGCAACACAGAAGGCAGCCATTCGGTACATCAAGTCTGGCTTTTTCTGTTCTTCTTTTTTAGAAGACTCATCCAGTTAGTTCCACCCTTTGGCTCTCCTGCATAACTTTGCAATTCTTTTCTGTTTCTGGACATTATCCAAACCTCCTATTGAATCGGAAAGTGCCACGCTTTTGGACAGTGCATTTCAAATTTGAACCACCCACGCTAAAAGCAATGCTCTTCGTGTCGTCACTCGTTCTTTTGCCAATTGCCTTAAATCTCTGCCATCTGGTAAGTGACCCTCAGCCACTAGAAACAGTTCCCCTTTATTGACTCAATCTCAGCCCTTCCTGATTTTGAACACCTGTATTAAATCTGTTCTTAACCAAAAGTTGGTCTGAGAAGAAATATCCAACACGTCCAGTCCATCCTAGTAAACACTCTCACTGTCAGAACCATGGTATTGATAGGAAAAGCAAAATCTATTCCTGATGATGCATCTGGTTAGTTGCATGCAAGGACTTGCTGAGCTGTTGGTTTATTTCTGAGGATGTTCCCGTTGACACTTCAGTGAGGTTCAGTGCTGACAATCATCTCTACCGAGCCCCTGTTCCCCGTTTGTCAAGGATGTGATTGCACTGGAAGGGGTGCAGACAACATCATGAAGAAGTTGCCTGGGATGGAGCATTTCAGGGATGAAGAGAGGCTGGATAAGCTTGGGTTGTTTCCTTTGGAGCAGAGAAGGCTCGGGGGAATGTGACAGAGGTGTATAAGATTGTAAGGAGCATAGACAGGGTGGATAGAAAGCTGCTGTTTCCCTTAGTTGAAGGGTCATAATTTTAAGGTGAAAGGCAGGAGGTTTAGAGGGGCCTTGAGGAAATACCGTTTCACAGAGGGTGGTGAGGTTCTGGAATGCACTGCTTGGGAGGATAGTTGAGGCAGGGAACCTCACAACCTTTAAAAAGCACTTGGATGAGCACTTGTAGTGTCATAACATTCAAAGTATGGGACGAGCGCTAGAAAGTGGGCTTAAATAGATAGGTTGGTTCAGATTCAATGGGCTGAAAGGCCTCTTCTTTGCTCTGTGACTCTATGAGTGCAATATCAGGCTTTCATGCTATTGAGGCCAAATTGTTTCCAGAGATCTTAGAGACAGAGACAGGAGAAATTCAAGCTGAAAATTGCTTGTTAAAAAAAAATCAATGAAGGTTTTGGGCAGCCACCATTATTTGTCACAAAGGAAATTCCCTTAAGCACAACATCAATGATTCTATAGAAAGCAGAGGCAGATAATAGAGCATTTGTTTCCTACCTTAACTCCATCTGTCTTCTTGTTGCCTGAGCTCCTTCCACCTGTAAGCAGAAGAAAAACAAATGTACTTATTCTATTCCACGTGCACCTGTGCTCTGCTTGGATACAGATCTCTGGCTCATTGCCTGTCTCCTGATGCTTCATTCTGAGCTAGTTTTCCTTCACAGTTTTTGTCATGGTGTTTCACCATTGCCCCCTGTATTCAGGGGCAGAGTGAAGAGGAAGATCTACCTCAGCCAGAACGGAAAAAAAAGGGATCAAAGTTGGATCATCAGTTATGATCATACTGGAAAGAGGAGCAGACTTGAAGGGCTGAATGGCCTACTCCTAATTTCTATGATTCTAGTGAACCATAGGGGTTGTTACAACAATCAGTGTTAGTTCACATCATCACCATCTCTGAGACTAGCTTCCAGTTCCAGATTTCATTAACTCCTGCAGCTACTATAGTGAGAGTTGAACAGCAGGACTGTTCAACTCTCAGCAACACAATATACTTCACCTGCCATTCCTTTGCCCACTCACTCAGCTTGTCCAAATCACACTGATGCCTCTCTGCTTCCTCCTTGCACCCTGCACTAGGTCAGATGGCTGGTATGTAGTTTAGAACGTTGCCAACAGCTCGGGTTCCACTTCCTAAATAAAAACCAAAAGAACTGCGGACGCTATCAGAAACAAAAACAGAATTTGCTGGAAAATCTCAGGAGGTCTGGCAGTATCTGTGAAGAGAAAATCAGAGTTAACGTTTCGGTCCAGTTCTGAGGAAGGGTCACCGGATCTGAAACATTAACATTGATTTTTCTTCACAGATGCTGCCGAGCTTTTCCAGCAACTTCTGCTTTTGTTTCGGATTCCGTTTCCATTCTGGCCGAGGTAGATCTTCTTCTTCACTCTGCCCCTGAAGACAGAAGGCAATGGTGAAACACCATGACACTGTGGGCCTCTGATTACTAGGCCAGTGATATTACCTTTACCACTGTCTCCCTCTGAAGTTGTAGTTGTGTGGTCACTAAGGCACTGTAGGAAATGCAGGAGTCAGTTTGCACACAGCAAGCTCCACAGCATGGAAATTAAACTTCCCAAAGCCCCTTTCACAACCTCAGGATGTCCTGATTCGCTTCAGAACTGATGGGGTACTTGTTGGAATTGTAGTAGCTGTTGCAAGCTAAGGAATATGCTGGCACAATTTATACTCACTAAAACTCAACAGTCCCAGCTCCATAAGGCTACAACTAGTTTTAAAACAGAACACGAGGATTTCTTTTTAAGCAGAAGATATTTGTATCAGAATATATACTCTCAGAATAAAGAGGTTCCAATTTAAGGCTGAGATAGATAGATTCCTGAACAGTAGTGGAGACTAGGGTTATGGGGAAATGCAGGGAAATGAACGTGAGGAGTGTCGGATCAGCCCTGATCCTATTGAATAGTGCAGCAGGCTCAAGGGGCCGAATGGCCTAGACCCGTTTCTATTTCTTACGGTTTTATGGTGTCTGAAATGTTCTTTCCTCTTTCTGAGCCCAAAAATTGAAGGAAGGAAAAATGGATTAAGACAGAAGCTGGAGAATGCATTTGGGAGTGAGAAAGTCAGATTTAAACAAGGCTCACTACCGCACCTCTCCCAGATTTGTTCAATTCAATGGTGAGCCGTGGGCATTGATGACAAGGCCAGCAGGTGGCAGCGATGAGCCATCTTCTTCAAGGTAACTAACTAGGGCCATTTCAGAATCAAACATATTGCAGTGGGTCTGGAGTCATGTGCAAATCAGAGGGCTAATGGAGGCAGATTTCCTTCTCTAAAAGGCATTAGTGATCAGGGGAGAAGCAGTGAGTAGGAATGTGGTAAGAGCTCAGAAATGGATAGCACGCAAGACAGTGAGGGTCAGGAGAGGAGTGGTAGCCAGGAGGTGGTGAGAGGGAGGCAGCAAACAAGGAGGTGGCAGCTGAGGGGGCAAGTGAGAGGCAGTGTGGGACATCAGGTGGGCATGGCGAGGTGGGGGCAGGAGTGTATGTGTGTTTGTGTGTGTGAGAGTGTGTGTTTATGTGAGAGAAAGTGTCTCTGTGAGACAGCGTGAGAGTGCCTGTGTGTGTGTGTGAGAGAGAGAGAGTCTCTGTGTGAGTGTCTGTGCGAGGGTGACAGAAAGTCTATGTGGGTGTTTGTGTGAGAGACAGAATGTGTGCGTGTATGTGTGTGTGCGTGCGTGTGTGTGAGAGAGAGTCTGTGTGTGTGAGAGACAGTGAGTTTCTGTGTGCATGTCTGTAAGAGTGTGAGAGAGTCTGTGTGTGTGTGAGAGACTGTGTGTGTGTATGTGAGAGTCTCTGTGTGCGTGTCTGTTCGAGTGTGAGAGAGAGTCTATGTGGGTGTGTGTGTGTGAGAGACAGAGTGTGTGTGTGTGTGCATGTCTGTGAGTGTGCGTGTGAGAGAGAGTCTCTGTGTGCGTGTGTGTGTGTGCAGGAATTGCAGAGAAAATGGAACCAGATGAAACATCCACCTCTGAACCAACCAGTAAAACCCCTGAGCATTTTGCACACAGCACACTGGAGCACAGCGTAATTCTCACGTATAAAATCATTGACTGGCTGAAACAAAATTGATTTTTAAGTAAATATATTCATGAGGTGAGTAAATTCCACTGCCTAAATGTAATTAAATTTAAAATCGGATATATCTCAACCATTGATAATCATAAGGATATGGAAGAAAATAATCAAATGACCAATAGGCTTGAAATATTTTACAATCTGCAGTGTGTTAAATATCTCTGAATACAATCATCAGCCAGTTCTCAGTCAAGAAAACTGAAGAACTTAATTTATATAGCACCTTTCAGTGATTTCAGCTCCTACAAAGGGCTTCATCAACAACACGTATATATTTATGGTTTGCATAGAGTCTTTAACATAATAAAATATCTCAATTTGTTTTCACAGCAACATTTACAAACCAACATTATACACCAAGTCACCTAATGTTGTTAACAACAACTGGCCAAAGTTTATTCACCTGTGGGATGTGGGTGTGACTGGCGGGGCCAGCATTTATTACCCATCTCACGTTGCTCTTGAGAAGGTGGGGGTGAGCTGCCTTCTTGATCCGCTGCAGTCCATGTGCTGTAGGTATACCCACAATTCCCTTAGGGAGGGAATTCCAGGATTTTGACCCAGCTATATATTTCCAAGACAGAATAGTGAATGGCTTGGAGGGGATCTTGCAAGTGATTGTGTTTCTATGTACCTGTTGCCCTTGTCCTTTTAGATGGTGGAGTTTTTGAATTTGGAGGGTGCTGTTGAAGGAGCCTTGGTGCATTTCTGCAGTGCATCTTGTCGATGGAACACACTGATACTTCTGAATGTTGTTGGTGGAGGGAATGCAGGCTTGTGGATGTAGTGCCAATCAAATGGGCTGCTTTGTCCTGGATGGTGTCAAGCTTCTTAACTGATATTGGAGCTGCACCCATCAGGCAAGTGGGCAGTATTACACTCCTGACTTGGGTCTTGTCTATGGTGGACAGGTTTTGGAAGTCAGGAGTTGAGTTACTCATTGTAGCTTCCTAGTTTCTGACATGTTCCTGTCGCCAATGTAGTTATCTAGCTTGTCCAGTTCAGTTTCTGGCCTACAGTTATCCTCAAGATGTTGATAGTGGGGCATTCAGTAATGGTAATGCCATTGAATGTCAAGGGTTGATGTTTAGACTCTTTGTTGTTGGAGATGGTCATTGTCTGGCATTTGTGTGGCGTGAATGTTACTTGCCTCTTGTCGGACAAGCCTGGATATTGCCCAGATCTTGTTGCATTTGGATACGGACTGTTTCAGTATCTGTGGAGTCGTAAATGGTGCTGAACATTGTGAAATCATTGGCCAACATCCCCACTTCTGACCTTATGATGGAGGGAAGGTCATTGCCAAAGCAGCTGAAGATGGTTGGGCCAAGGTCACTGCCCTGAGGAACTCCTGCAGTGTCTTAAAGGAGTAGACAGATGTGATAGAGAGGCAAAGGAATCTTGATAGGGAATTCCAGTGCTTAGGGACCAGGCAGCTGAAAATATAACCATGGAGCGATTAAAATTAGGGAGGTTCAAGGGGCCAGAACTGGATGAATGCAGAGATCTCGGACAATTTTGGGAGTCAGGGCAAATGAAATATTTTTGAAGTCACTGTTGAAATGTAGGAAACATGGTATTCAATGTGACAAGCTCCTACAAATGACAATGTAACAATGCCAGGTTATTTGTGTTTCTTCAAGATGTGTTTTTTGAGGGATCAATTTGGAGACTGGAGCGCATTCTACTTCAAAAAGCTGCCTGTGGGATAGTTTTTATTCACCCAAAAGAGCAGATAGGAACTCAAGTTAATGTTTCATCCAGAAGACTGGTGTAAAGTTTTGGGCGGTCCCTTTTGCCCTCAGACTACCTCCTGACCCTCAGGGCTATTATTGTGTCAGAATTAGGCTCATTAATCTCCGTCAATCACTTCTACACCTCTTATAAAAGCAAAATACTGCGAATGCTGGAAATCCAAAAAGAACACAGAGAATGCTGGAGAAATTCAGCAGGTCTGGCAGCATCTGTGGAAAGAGAACAACAGGATTTACCTTTTGAGGCTAGTATGACTCTTCTTCAGAGTCCTTCAGAAGTTTGGAGGAAAAGTCACAACAGACTCAAAATATTAACTGTGCTTCTCTATCCACAGATTGTCTGCCAGACATTCCTACATCTCCCTTTTTTCTTGTCTGTCATTGCAACTCAAGAGCTTTGTGATTTACAGCACTGAGCACTGATTTCTCTAAGGTACACTTTTGCTGATTTCTTTTGGATGGAACAGTGCCTCCATTTGATAAGGTCTTACAGTAACTTAATTGGCCAAAGCAAAGTGCAGAGTGACAGAGAGTCTGTAACTTGCAACAGTTCCAAGCACTTATCAATGGTTTGGTAAATGCTTTGCACAAATGCAACTGTACCAAACTGTGTGCTGTTAGATTCTGGACCCTTCTCTCACCATTGCAATGCTGCTCCAGTCACAGCCTCCACAATAGGCATTTATTGTAAAGCACCCCATTAAATTAATTCATGGTCCTCTCTTGGGCTCATCTATCGCCATGACCAGAGAGATAAGCATGTCCCCTTAGATCAGACAGAGGTTAATCAGCACCATTCATCAACTTTATGTCAACACAAGCAGTTGGAAAGTGAAATAGAAGGAGATCAATTTTCTTCCTGATTCTGGTTTCAGCACTCAGTCACATGGTCTCATTTTCTCTTGATGATGGTTTGGTTTTCTCTTTTTTGGTGTCCGACCCATTCCCCTCTAGAGAGGAGTGGACCTCTACCAAGACATAAGAACATAAGAAATAGGAGCAGAAATAGGCCAGCTGGCCCATTGAGCCTGCTCCACCATTTAATAAGATCATGGCTGATCTTTTTGAGACTCAGCTCCACTTACCCGCCCACTCACCCTAACCCTTAATTCCTTTACTATTCAAAAATCAATCTTTGCCTTAAAAACATTCAATGAGGTAGCCTCACTGGGCAGGGAATTCCACAGATTCACAACCCTTTGGGTGAAGAAGTTCCTCCTCAACTCAGTCCTAAACCTGCTCCCCCCTTATTTTGAGGTTATTCCCCCGGTTCTAGTTTCACCCACTAGTGGAAATAACCTTCCTGCTTCTATTTTATCTACTCACTACATAACTTTATATGTTTATATGTATGTGTATTATCTCATATGTTTATATTTTATAAGACCATGGTGCCTGATTATCCGGTCATTTATCTCATTGCTGCTTATGGGGTCCTGTGTTCCTCAAATCAATCACTGCGTTTTCTACTTTCCTGCAGAGACTATGATTCGAAAGTACTTCATTTTCTGTAAAGCAGTGGGGAAGTGCAGGGAAGATTTTTTTTTCACCTGAATTGTCGAGGTTGCATGGAAACCTGAAAGAGGTCTTTTATAATGAAGAAGGAGCTGGAGGGTCAACTTGGAGAAATGGTTTCCACTTGTGGGAGGGACCGGAGTGAGAGAGCAAACAACACAATCCATGTTAATATTGGAGTAGGTGCCCATGGAAAAGGTTGTCGTTGAAAAGTGGTGAGTTGTCTGACTTCTTTAAAAAAGCATTGGATTGATATACTGGTGGAGTATGGAGCTGGAGTTTGTGAGGTTCAGAACAAACTAATTTGGTCAAATAATAAATTGGATGCAACAGATTTACATGTTGTGGAGGTCGGATTTAATCCTCTGGCAAGTGCAGTACACCAAGGCTCAATAGTTCAGCGTGAACGACCATTGCAATTTCGCCTTTCATGGTCGGGGAACACTTTTACCAAAAAGTCCCTTGCAAAATCAAATGGGTGGGTGGAGTCTATGATAGGAGAGGGTGTACATGGGCTGCGGGCGAAGATCGAATGGTGGGTGGATATCAATGATAGATGAACATACACAGATGAACAAAGAGCTGAAGTAGGCCATTCAGCCCATTGAGCCTACTTCACAATTCAACAGAACATGACCAACGTGATTATAACCTCAAATCTACATTCCTGCCTTTTCACCCCATGAACCATTCATCCTATTTCTTCCCAGTAATCTACACACCTCTGCCTTCAAAATGTTCAAGACTTTTCGGAAAGAAGAGTCTAAAGTCTCATGACTCTCTGAGAGAAAAGGTTTTGCTTTATCTCTGCTTAGGTGGATGATCTCTTATTTTATAAGCAGTGATCCCTAGTTCTAGATTCTTCTGTAAGAGGAAACATCCTCTCCACACCTATCCTGTCAAGACACTTCAGGATCTTATACCTTTCAAACAAGAATTTCACTCCCTCCTAAGAAGGTGCAGGATATGGTTGAGAATGTGGTTCGGAAAGCTTACAGGATTCTGTGCTTTATGAACAGGGGTATAGAGCATAGAAACAAAGAAGTTATGACAAACTTGTTCAAAACCCAGGGTTCACCCCATCTGGACTATTACATCCAGTTCTGGATGGTGTACTTCAGAGAAGATGTGAGACATCTTCAGAGACATTATAGAATAGATTTACAAGAATGGTTCCAGGGTTGAGAGACTTGAGCTCCATGGATAAAATGTAAGAGCAGGGACTGTGCTCCTTGGAGAAAAGGAGATGGAGAGGAGATTTGATAGAAGTGGGTAAATCAGTTTTTTAATGCCCATTCATGAGATGTAGACATCTCCGACTGGGCCAACATTTATTGTCCTATTGCCGCTGATTGAGGGCCATTTGAGAGGTTAGTTCAGAGTCAATCACATTGCTGTGAGTCTGTGATGTAGGCCAGACCAGAAAAGGATGGCAAATTTTCCTCCTAAAGTATATTAGTAAATCAGATGGGGTTTCCTGACAGTGTGTTTCATGGTCATCATTAGCCAAACATTTTAAATCCAGATTTTGATGACTGAATTCTATTTCATATCTTCCATGGTCGGATTCGAACTCAAATCCCACAAAGCATTAGCCTAGGGAACTTGGCTACATGTCCAGGGACATTACCACTAACTCCACCACCTACCAGACTGTAAGGAGCATGGAGGGAATAGATAGGGAGGAACAGTTCTCACTGGCGGAAGGAT